CAAATGAGTGGCCAAAAGATGGCAACCAAAACCGGCGCACGAAAGTGCAGGGAAATGGTTGTAAAAACTGAACTGAACTGTCTGCGCAACATGGTTAATGTATGGCGGCAGTATCGCGTGAATAAGGATGAGGTCAGACTCCGGGTGATAGGATCAGGTAGTCTTCCGCTGAGCAAAATAATTTCAGTGTCATCTTAGGTGGCTAGGACACTTCCTATGAATGTCTGAACAACGTCTGCCATACCGTGCACTATTCGCAGATATCAATCAAGGCTGGAAGGTGGTAAGACTATGCCGTGGCGCAGAAGGTTAAAGAGACTGTTCTCAGATCTGGCTTCCGTTGGAACTTCCCTGCTGGGGCCCCAAAGATCGAAATGGTCTTTGGCTGGAGACATTGCGGGGTATGGCGTCAAACCGAAGTCAGCGGCGTGAATGCATCCTCTCCCAAAAGTAAACAAAAACAAACTCAAAACGGCGTGCGGCAAACAAACTAAACTGTTCACCCAATTTGACTGTTTTGTATCCCCCGCTGCATTACGTATATTTTTCCTTCATCCACTTTTATTTTGGCGCTGTATCTGTAAACATTGGTGCCATATATACATATATAGATATATATCAATCATCATCATCATCATCATCATCATCATCATCATCATCATCGTCATCATCATCATCATCAATCATCATTCATATCATACTGTAGCGTACAACGTCGAACCAATGGTTTGGAAATTCTGTTGGTCGTTCCTTATTAGAATTATATGCTTGAAAATGTGTGTGCGTAGTTATACTGTTTGTTCAGTTTGTTAACTGCCGGTTTACTTTGTTTTCTCCTTCTGTCAGTTCACCTCGGTATCTACCATGCCTAGTCGAATTTCCTTATTTGTTTCACCAATGCTTGATAAATTTACTCAAGGTCCAGAGGTTGAGCCACAAAGTGTTGCAAAATGATAACAGGTTTTATATCTTGGGTTGTGTAAACCCGCTGGTTTAGTCGCCGCCGTCGGCGTGCTTTGGAGCCCGTGGTCCGAGCTTCGAACCCCAACGCTAGCACCCCACTTTGTTGGTAGGCAGCTTTTCCGTGNGGTCTTATATAGTTTGGCCCTCTAGGCCCAGGGGCTTAGGTTGCCGGTTTGCATCACAAAATAACAGATCTTCGCAACCATGGGATCCACCCCGTCTGTTGTTCATCACACAAAATGTGTGCAATTAAACAAAACAAATGAATACCAGTAATCTACGGATGTTTCGATTTATAAATCACTAGAGTACTTTTAATTTTTTTCCATAACGAAAGCCATTGCCAAAGTGCATTTGTGTAATCCAATTTGTTCCACTAATACAATTTTCCTTCAATTTTCTTTCGTTTACTCCATGAACAACAAATATGCTACCGATTTTCAGATGGCTAACTGTCAAGCTGACACTGTCCGGAGCAATCAGCAATTTTTTATCACTAAATAATAATTCCAGAATTACACACTGAATACAGTATGTACTCAAATGGAGATTGATGTAAAACACGTATGTCAAAACCGGTTTATTACCCTTTTGATTAAAAACATGGAAGTTGTAAGAGAGAAATGTAAAAACGAGGGAGAGAGGGTTTTCTGCAGCATAGCAGTTGTGAACACAAGTCGATAAGTGTTAGCCTTTTTGTGTTGGAAAGAGTAGTAGCCAGTGTCTACTAAAAGTCTTTTTCTTACCAAGCTTACTTTTTTTCTCTCCGTATTTCAAAGCTGTTCTTTCGTGAAATGTTTCAAGATGTAAAGGCAGTATCAAACCGAAATATCAGTTTCATGATTCTGATTCTTTAGTAGGCTATGCGCTTATTATTGCAGTAGTTCAGCGGTTAAAAATGAGGGATTTTGCGTCGAAGCTAGATCTGTTTATCATTAATTGTGCTAATGAAACAGAATACTGAAGACAGGGGATAAACATCTCTCCCTTACGGAATAACAACATGATACTAATTTTTGTTGTTGTAGGTTCATTCGTTTTTCTCTCCAATCGGGAGTATTTATTGTTTTGTTTACCCGAGTTGCGCGCTAAAAATTCTTAAAACGGATACTCATTTCACTGTGTCTTGCGCTGTCATGTTCTCGTTCCTGTTCGATGGAAAATAATGTGGTTTTGATGATCTTTTTCATTTTTCTAATTCCAGTTTGGATCTGATCAACAATCATATCGCGTGCGTGGATTAGATCTATGGTCAAACTACACAATTTATTTGGCTGCAGTAAACTGTCGGGGTGAAGGTATAAGGTCGTTGCCCGTACAAGTTTTTGCTTATCCCACGCAGGATCCTTCAACCAACCCGATAGATTTGAACGGCCCATTGAGTTTCCCCAACTCGGGTGCACAGTATCGTCGTGTGATCTACGATGGTCGTGAAGCAGCCACCGGGAGTCTACTGCTTGCTTCACAACCCCAAACACCTGTTGAGTTGATCGAACCAAATCCATCAGAGGAGCGGGGGAGTTTGATTCGCGAGCCATGGTTCATAGTTAGTGTGGTCGCCTTCAGTCTGCTGTGGATTCTCGTGGTTCTCGGTCTTGTTTTGTGCGGTCGTCATCGTAGCCGTCGTCAGCGGAGACGTGCTACGGTTCTTGATTCAGTGGTGGATGTTGGAACAGTTACTAAAAACGGTCGCCTCGGTCCGGCTTCAGAAACCTATCCACTATCACTTGCAAGCACACCCTTGTTACCCACGTCTACTCCGGACGTCAATGGTCTGAACGGTGTGAGTCCAATACCTGCACATGCTATCCCAACAAACGATCCCCATTATTACGGCGATCAGCGTAAACTGGGTAACGGATTTACTTCACCGGTAATGAATCAACAGAATGGGCTGATTCCGGTCGTATCATTTCCCGGTTCGGTAGTTTGCAATGGCAATGTGCAACCAACGTTCACCTATTATCCTCATTACTCACTTGGACCACAACTGGGACCACATATGGATAGCGTGAAAGCCACGTCCTACATCACGACCAATAGTATCCCACTAAACATGCAAACTACCTGCGGTGTTCAAGGTAAGCTCACGGTCGACTTAGTTCTTTGTTTTCTGACAATCACTGAGTCGTCCGTTCCTCTGTACGAAAGTTGCTATGTACGCTGCATTTCACTCAGCTTAGTTCTTAGACAAAGTAATTTTGATCTCCAGCTTTTCTTTTTTTATTACACCTTAGTGTGATGAATATCAGACGGAGCGAACCCCATTGTTACGAAGTCTGCCATTCAGTGATGGAAACCGGTAACCACATAAGGCCCCGTTGGAATAGGCGTGATATTGAACCCGACGACAGCCAGGCTGCCACCAAATTCTAATTTAGTTCCTTTATCAGATATCTCAACCTTCGTTAGTGTCTTTGTATGCTATTCCCAGTACTCTTTTTTCGCCCCTTGTTCCGACTTGGACCATTCCCCCAGACAATTGGCTCGTTACTCATCAAAGCGTGCTGCCAAATAGCGTTTTTGGATGCACCACCAAGTGGATTGAATAATCTGAAGCGTCGTTAACCCTTGAAACTGGGATCCCTCAACCTGAAGGCTATTATGGGGGTTGACCTACAGGCTTTGTTGAACCCTTATGTCCTGTCTAGTCCAAACTTGCGACACAACTCGAAGGACAACAACTTGGTGTCGGATTCAGCGGGTTAGCTAACCCAAATTGATCATATAATAGTAAACTTCCTCTAGTATGGTTCAGTAATAAATCCAAGGTGTTATTGGACCACCAGTGTCGAGTCTGGTTACACGCTAATGTTGATGCTCTTCACTCCGACTCGCCGGTCACCGGCAAAAGTCTATGGAGCTGGTTTCTCTTCTTCCAGGTTGGTATTCAGAAAACTAACTAGATCGGAAACATTGGAGACGTAGCGGTGAACCAACAGCAATAGCGTTCTTGTCATTTATCAACAGGCCTCGGCTGCCCTGCTGGACGCTTGCAAAGCCTTTCCATCTGTTGCTAAATACGACAAAGCGCGCACACAGGTCCCGTTAAGCTCCCTGGATGGGGACCTCGGGATGGTCGTACCCGATGGTTAGAGACACTGAATGATATGGCTGGGTGTCGTAAACAGTGGCGTTGATGCAATTTCTCAGTTTCTCTGTATCATTAATCTACTGAACCTTTCATTTTTCTCTTCGATCCTACTTTCAACCTTTCCTGTTTTTCCTAATGTTCATCCAAATGGGCAGCCGAAAGATAGCAACCAAAACCGGCGCACTATAGTGCATGGTTAATGGTTGTGCAAACTGAAATCTCTCAAACGTCAGCTCACCAAGGGCTTGAGGAACGATTGCGAGAAGTGGTGGGTAGGGAAGTGTAAAGATATAAAGAAGGCTGCGACTGTCTGTAATAGTCTTAATGTTTTTTGTTTAATTGGGAACACAGACTCAAGAGAAGTAGACGGTAAACGGAATCATATTCAGCAACGCCGTCTTGAACAATGGACTAAACATTTTAAGGCACAGTTCAGCTTGCCCTTCAACACAAAACCTAATACCTGCTTCCTTTGGGCCAATATTGCCAGTAGATATCAATCCTCCATCTGAAATGGACGTTACCCGGGAAATCAATTACCTCTTATTGTATAGGGCCTCCGTGCTCTCTTTGCACGTGCCGAGAAAGGCTGGAAGAAGCAGCGCGGCGGTCAGACCATGACGTGGCGTAGAGGTATGAAGAAGCTGGCTTCGGTTGGTGCAGCCCGCCTTTCAGGTTTGGGCCCAAGGGATGAGTATTATCGTTAGTTAGAGACGCTGAGAGATATGAACCAGAATAGAAGTCAATGTCACGAATGCTGTACGGTCTGTCTGTCGAAATCCCGTGCCCCGTAAAAAAAGAAAAACAAACAACACGAAAATAACAAAAGGTGTACGGGGAAAGAAAAAATCATTTTATCCCAGTTTCCTACTTTTTTCTATTTTAACTGCTCGACCTTCTTCCCACTTAGCTCTGTATTTCAACCCACCTGCCGCATGTTATTGTTACTGTTATTATTGTTGTGCCGTTGGCACTATGTTTGTTTACAATCCGACGTAATATATATATATATATATATATATATATATATATATATATATATATAAAGGCCTCCGACCCGAATGGGATGCTCCCTTGGTTTCTAGGGATGGAGGGTCAACCTTCTTTTGGGAGTTGACAGAACTCCTGGACTCAGTATGGGCGGGGGAACAGGTTCCAACGGAATGGTATAAATCAATCATCCTACCACTTTACAAGAAAGGTGACAAATTTTGTAAAAACCACGGGGGAATTACTTTAATCAATCAATCGCTGGTTTTATGCCCCGTCGATTGTCTACCGCACGTCATCATCCTTGTACAGCGTAATACAGTGAAGTTTGCTTCANCTTCACTGATCACTACCAAACTCATAACGCATACAAGGTAAGTGATAATGTGTAAGGAGGACAGGGATTGGACCTATTTTTAGGGACGAGAAAAGAAATCGACCCTCTATGGTCAACACAGAGTACACAGTCCAACTGTGTATACACAAGTTTTCGAACATTCCGGTCTGATAAGAAGTGACAGCAAGATCGCCACTGCTGTCGGTTCGCAGCGATGACCTTCAGTANCTTCAGTATCTCCGACCATTCACCTACGGAGTCTTTTGGAAGACGAGAGACACCTATTCCACCTAATCACTCTGCTTTTCTCCATGCCTGATTTCTGTTTCATCTGCTGGCCTCCACGTGGCTTTCTGCAGTCTACAGTGACCACTACAAATAAGGCGTGGCGCAGTAGGCGTCTGATAGACGTGCAAAACGTCCTAACTGATGCAGCCTATTGAACTGAATTCGAGGCTATGACGAGCTTGTATTCGATGCATTCCCCCAAAACCCAACGACTTACGTCTTGGTCACTAACCGGTTCACTCTATCCCACCCTGACCAGACTACGTAAGCATCGATTTTCGACAACCGCTAGGCGACGGGTGTCTTCTACCCGCAAATTCACAACCGGTTTGTACAGTCGTTGCGAGATCCCTTCTCAAAAATGGGAATAATCAGTGATTCGCTCCAGGACTGTGCTCTTGCGCGCATATGTTAAGCATTAAATCAAAAATGGAGTCAACGATATAATCGCCCCCGTCTTGAAAAGAGTGAGAGGAAGCCTATCAGGTTCTGATGCTTTTCCTTTCTTCTTTAGCTTGGAGGCAAGAACGAACTTCTGCTTCAGTAGGAAGTTTACATGACATTGCCCAAGGCGTCTCAACTACAACAGACGGTGTAGTCCAGTTAGCGCCTGACCAGTTGAACTGTTCGTTGAAGTACTCCGCCCATCGGCCAAGCCGTTGTTCGCTCATCAGATATCCACTGCCTCAGATAGACTACCGATTCAAATCCACAAGTAATCCTCACTGCGGAGTGCATTGCTTGTCGAATCTGATCCCATGGTTCATCTACACTACCATACAGCAGTGCGTTTAGCTCTTTCCTTAGTTCTGATTCAAAACGAGCACGAACGGCTGGGTCAAATAAACGATGACCCGCCAACCGAGTTTGGTGGGGTTTTCTGCGACTGGTGAGTTGGATAGTGAACTGCATCAAAACTGATGCGTAATCAAATTCAACGCAGATGGTCCAATAGGACCCGCAATTTTGTACTGAACCAGGCCAACTGTAGCTTATTGCCATGTGGTCGGTTTTAGTTAGCTTACTAGTTGAATTAGAGCACCACGTTACTGTCCGTTAAAAGCTGTGTCGGAATTTGGTACTGGATAGGAGCAGCTGATGGTCTGCGCAGAACTGAAGAGGTTCTTTACTATTATGTGTTCATTGGCAGGGCAGAGTACAACGACAGCTTCCGATGCGCTGAATTTTCCAACTTACGCGTTAAACTCACCTGCGTGCACAACTATATCGGAGCGTTGGCTCAACCGAATGAGTTCGGCTGGTTTAATCAGAACTGCAGTTGATCGTTGCAGACGCAGAAATGGAGAGGGTTGGGTACGGAGGTTTGAGAGCTAAACAAAGTTTGAGATGTGTGAACAGTTGCCCACTTATCACAACCCACCCCGCTCGACGGAATGAATGGGGACCTTGAGGTCGTGGTATACGGTTGTTAAAAACGCAGTGATATGGCTGACTGTCGCAAAGAGTGGCGCTCGTGCATCTACTCATTATCTTTGCAACCTTAATCCACGTTAATTCTACTTTCATTGACTCTCCCAACTTTCCATTCTCCCCTCTGCTCTTTTATTGAAATGGGTAGCCTTAAGACAGCCACCTAACCCGGCGCATGTAAATACGTTTCATGGTTGCAAAACTGAAACTAAAACTGTTCAGCGGGTCGTTGGAATTGAGACAAGTGTCAAATTTGGTAGTATTATACTCTCTCCAAGCAGGCTTACTCTCTGTTCCTTTCACCCATCCACACTATGCGTGCAGTGAGCTAGGCAATGGTCATCAAATTCCGCGTGTGTATTTAGCTGTACGATTAAGGTTGAATCTGGTTGCCACCCTCCACACCTTCCACCCCAACAGTCTGTCTGGTCACCTCTCCCCCAAGTGTCATTGTCTTGACCCGTACGTATTATCGATCATCAGACATGCACTTTTCGTCCGTTCCATTTCTTCATTCGCCCACCACCCTCGGTTACCCGCCCCCCTCTTTTCTCGTTACCGTTGTCCCTGACCTTGATGTGGTCTGATCCACCCTGCCCTATTGCTATCGTACGGAGTTGCCTAATCTTATTCGGATTGGTCCTCTGTCTCACCCATGCGTCGCCCTGCCCCATGTGCGCTTTGACGTTATTTCATTTATCGCCTCGTTGTTTGACGGAGTAGTGAACTCCCTCGTTTGCATCTTGGTTCTCGATTGGCATTGTTTATTTCGCTGGTTGAGGCACACCCCCTGGGAAGGCCACGATTTGAGGTGTGTTGTTTATGTAATTGTAACTTAATATTTACAGTACATCATACTTATTCGGTATTGTTGGAGCCTAATAAACCTCTAGGACATTTGAACTTAGCTTCTGAGGTTGCGCATCACTCAACGTTGACCTGGATAATTATTTGGATTTAACAACTATCATGATTAGCATTGTGATGCTTGTTCTTTCGTTACACACAATCATGCAATGAACATCAGAAAGGATAAACTCCACAACTAGGAGGATCCCCTGAAAACTTAAATCGCGGAACCCGGAAGGTGACCTTTCTAAAGCGTCAGTAAAGTGTACGTGGTATTGAGCTGGAGGACAGCGAAGCTGACCAGCGTCTGCTTTCGGTAAGAAGACGTTTTGGTAATAGTTTAGAACCCTACGATCTAGTTCTTGGTCGGGTTTCTGCGTCAGAAAAGGATTGTTTACTGCAGTTTTTAATGAAGTAAAATATAAGGTGCGAGGAATTTTTAAACAAACGGTTAGTAGACATAATTGTCCTAACCTACCTTTAGAATGTGATTTTCTCAAGAGGATAGGTGTAGTATTGTACCGGGTAGCGTCAAAGCTGTTGGTGGTGCACTGGGGATTTGTAATCGATGATTACCATGACGCGTAACACCACTCGGAATTATTTGATATTCGCAGCTATCTGTGACCGAATGCCAGTGACTCGACAGCGCCACAATTCCTTTTTCCTTCCGCCACATGATTTCAATTTAGGGGTTGCAGTTAGAGTATATGATGTGTTATTTTGTATTTGTAGTATTTTTTCTCCCTCTCCCTTAGTGAGTTGATATCCGGGGCGATTCGGATTATCGCGCTTACTTTTTATGTTGCCACCTTGGTGTCTCCTAGCAAAAACTCGTGATAATTAAAAGCTATCATTGTTGTATTCATGCGTAATTCGTTGTGAAATACACGTTCCCGTTAAAAGAATACAGTTCTTTCCCCCGCATTTATTTACTTTCCTAAACTGTCATTCTGGTCACTATTAAAATCACTTGACTGGTGTGTGCTTAAAAGATAGGAAATTTCATTGTCGCCAGTATTGTACTCTCTCAATTCAGCCTGTTTTTATCAGCCGCTGTTTTTTTTGTTCTGTAGTTTTTTTTGTTATGTTTTTCAGCTCATTTAGTAATTCAATAAATAAGACCATAAGTTAAGAAATGGAGAGGGAAATACTTCCACCACTTTCGACTCTATCTACACAAATAAAAATTGCTCTGCTGATCACGACTAGGATGTTCATCGTGACACATCTTATGCTGTCAACGTTTAACGGACCAAAATATCTTGTCAATACCGCACGTTGTCTACATTTACGTGCACGCCTTCTATTATTTGCGGTGGCACCTCATTGCATAAAGCGTTCGTGCATTTATTTGGCTAGCAAAATGTGCTTACCCATCAAAACTGTACGTTAAATCGTTCGCGTGCAAGGTGAGGTTTGTTGCAAGTTTGACCGCACTTTAAAACCCCATTGTTATATCTTTTCTCCGTATAAACGTAATTCGTGTTCTTGATCAAATCGTGAGTAGTTTCCCATTCATTCCAACTCTTCCCTTACTTTCAGTTTTTTTCATGCCACCATCGATTATTGACAAGCGCCCCCCATTGAAACATATTCTTAGCTGTACCGGATTGACATCCAGTGATAGAGTGTCGCGCAGAAAACGAACCCCCAAGTCCAGGCAAATAGAACTCGAGCTCGGTAATCTACGTGTACTGAGGCACAGATAAGTAAACAATATGTACGTCATACCTCACGTTCTGAGCACAGGCTCAGAAACCAGGCAAATAGGACAGAATGGAGCAGGATATCAAGTCAAGTTACGCACCAAGCACCGTCAGACCGAAGAACGAGGAACATCAAAGGGAACAGTGTATTTAAGGCGGTAAGCCGACCAATCACCATCACTCGGTCCAGGTGCNGTGCACGGTTATTTATCGGTAATACTTGTGGAGATGCGTCTTAGTGGGACACTGAGTACACGACAGTATGTAATGGAGCGAAATGAAACGGCTCAAACGATAGTTCGAGGGGAAGCGGACAGGTCACTATAAACAATTTGCACAAGGAGCGATGCGGAATAAATGATAATCAGTTACATCGTACTATATATCAAACGATTCCTCAAGGTAGTAGGGGACAGGAGTAGTGTTCGAATGCCACCAGTTGCTGGACATGGGTTATATCATCAAGCAGTATATGAATAAAATCACAAGTATTGGCAGCTGTGGGTGAACAGATTTTGACATGTCCATTGAAGTGTATCAAATATGTCGAAGTCAAGCGGTTTACTAAGTAGTGAATAGGCAGTTGTTTGGGAGCGATGGTCAAGAGGTGATCTAAACAACAGATACCTCCACTACAACGTGGTATGGGGGTCAGACGGAGGGAGAGCAATAATACAAAGCTGAGTTAATGTTGAATTGACTGGCATACGGAATTTTTCCAAACTGGCTGATGTTTACATTAGTTGTTTTCATACACCGTGGTTTCTCGGGCTTATATCTGTTTGGTCCATCTGATGCAGGTTTCACATTGTTACAAGTGCAAAGTGCTTGTACTAAACTGACAGGAGTCTGCCTGCACTCATCCTTTATGGTGATCGGTAGTCATGAGCTTTACGTACCCCGTGGCTTGATTGCAGTCGAAGGTGGTATTGGAGAAGGGATCATAGTACGAATAACGAAAGCTGAAGCAGCTTTTGTCAACCTATGACACATGTGGCATCATTATAACATCCAACTTTTCCTTAAGGAAAGGATACATATCACCGCAGTTAGCAGTGTTTTCCTGAGTGGTTGCAAGACCTGGTCTCTCCAAGTTGAGTATTTTAATCGACTTTCTATATTTGACCACCGATGTCTTGAAAGCATTGCTCGTTTAGAGTGGGAACATCTCGTGACCAGTGACGCGATTCGTCGTCGTGTGTTGGACACTGCCATTCGCGCTCTACGACGGAGGAGCATCTGACTTCCATTGTCTTCGTTTTTGGTGGTGCATTTTATTTTCAAACAACAGTTTATCTTTTTTCTCTAATACCGCTTTTGTAATCCTCGAGTTGCTACTTATCACATCCGTAATATTTTAAACTTCGGTCGATCAACCATGAGCCCACCGCAGCCGTGTTTTTCTTTTGTTCAAGTGAACTGGCCACTTGTGGGCATTGGTTCCAATAACTTCCCTTGGTTTCTTCAAATGGTCTCAATCACTCACTCGGTCACTAGCGCTCTCAGCCAGTTCTGACTATTAAAAGGGAACAAGTTAACTTTACTTTCTTGCCGCCTATGATGCATGTTACCTTTGTTTTTGGACAGCATCTTGTTCTGCACGACAGATGAAAGCTTGTTTTTGGAAAATGAGTAAACCCGATTCCTTCAGTGTGTGGTATCCGGTATGGGCAAAGAAAACGAAGTTGTGTTTTAACCAGAGTTCCCGATCAACTGGGTGTTTGTTCACTTAACACCCGTAAACTGACCGGATATTCCAATAGGTATGTCTTCTCTATGTGGTCTGTGCACATTTTTCGAATTTACTCTAGTCTCAGCGGAGTTTGGTCACCATTTCTCTTCGCCTCTTGTGGTTGTGGGTTTGGCTAAATCACATGTAAGCACTTGCCCTCTTGGTTGTACTCTTATTTCGTGCCGGTATACTCATTACTGCCAGTTTCTTTCTCTTGTTTGCTTTTCACGCTTTAGCTGATTTTTGTGATCTGGACTGTGTGGAGTGCATTACAGTAATGAGTAAAGTTCAATGCGGATCACGATTTAAGGGGATTGTGTGAAGGTCTTCGGAATTTGTTTCGCACCTTAAGACTTAGAAACACTATTGCCGGACTAGGTCACTTTCAACTGGGAACTGGTTGCGCGAGCGGCGATCAGCGAGAGAACATAGATTCTCGTATGGAAATCTTGTTTCGCATCCGAACTCGCCGGCACTGTCAGTAATTTGTTTTGCGCATGTTCACTAGATTCATTTCATATTGGACAAGAACTAAAATGAGGTTGTATTTAACTTCAGCAAA